AGAAGACTCAAATTATTAAAGTCAGAAATGAAAGTGAGCACAGTCCTACCAATTCTATAGAAACAGAAGATTATAAGGATGGAGGAGGAGCAGACAGACAGTGCTATGATGAATCTATGGCAAAAACCATAGATGAAATGAAAAAATTCCTAGACTTCCGGCCAAGATGGAGGTGTAGGTAGACACACTGTGCCTCCTCAAACAACCAAAATAAGGACAACAATTCAGAAACAAAGTAACAACCAAAACTGAAAGAAAACTGAACTGTATGTAAAGAGTTAAAATTGACACATTCATCCAGACCAGTAGGCAGGGCGGAGTTGGGCAACTGAGCAGAGAGGGGTCACGACACAGGAAGCAGTGACACAGGGCGTGCAAGGCACCCCAGACATGCAAGGCACCCTGGGTGCGCAAGGTGGCACCAGGCAGACCCTGGGCACCCAGGCGGTGGCTGGCAGACCCTGGGCATGGGGTGGCAAGGGGCGGACCCAGTGAGGCGGCGATTGAGAAGTGGGGCACCATGCACAAGGGGGCTGGCTGACTGCTGGTGATTGAGAAGTGGGGCACCATGCACAAGGGGGCTGGCTGACTGCATCGGTCCCACATTCCAACGCAGATAAGTGGGGAGTAAGAAACCCAGGGTCCTAGCACCAGAAAACAAAGCCTCAAAACACCGATTGAAAACACTTGTGGGGGTTGAGGCACAGGGAGAGACTCCCACCCTCACAGGAAAGTTCGCTGGGGAGACCCACAGGGTACTAGAATGCACACAAGCTCGCGCGCGCGCGCACACACACGGGAATCAGCATCAGAAAGGCCCAGTTTGCTTGGGGGAAGCAGCAGAAGGGACTGAGGTGCAACAGAGAGCGGAGCAAAGCACCATTTTTTTCCCTCTTGGACCCCACCCCCACATACAGCGTCACAACCCAGCGATTTGGGTTGCCCCACCCTGGTGAGCACCTAAGGCTCTGTCCCTCACACATAACGGGTGCGACCTAACCAAAAAATTATGGCTCAAGCAGCAGAACAGCTCAAAGCCCCAGAGCCAATACTTCTAAGCGACAAAGAGATAGCTAACCTATCAGATGCACAGTTCAAAACACTGGTGATCAGGATGCTCATGGAACTGGTTGATTTTAGTCACAAATTAGAGGAACATATGAAGGCAAAACTAATTGAAATGAAGGGAAATGCACAGAAAACCAATAGTGATAAAAAGGAAACTGGGACTCAGATCAAGGGAGTGAACCAGAAGGAAGAAAAAAAATGGCCGAACAGGAAAATATTAAGAAACAAGAACTCAAAAAAATGAGGAGAGACTTAGGAACCTCCAGGACATCTTTAAACACTCCAACATCCGAATTATAGGGGTTCTAGAGGGAGGAAAGGAACAGCCACCAGTGGAAAACTTATTTGAACAAGTAATAAAGGAGAACTTCCCTAATCTGGCAAAGGCAATAGACTTCCAGGAAATCCAGGAAGCACAGAGTCCCAAAGAAGTTGGACCCAAGGAGGAACACACCAAGGCACATCATCATTACATTAGCCGAGATTAAAATGAAGGAGAGAATCCTACAAGCAGCAAGAGATAAGAGGACAGTCACCTACACAGGAGTTCCCATCAGACTGTCAGCGGATTTCTCAAAAGAGACCTTACAGGCAAGAAGGGGCTGGAAAGAAGTATTCCAAGTCATGAAATCCAAAGACCTACATCCAAGATTGCTCTATCCAGCAAAACTTTCATTTAGAATGGAAGGACAGATAAAGTGCTTCTCAGATAAGATCAAATTCAAGGAGTTCATCATCACCAAGCCCTTATTATATGAAATGTTAAAGGGACTTATCTAAGAAAAAGATAAAAAATATGAACACTGAAAGGACAGCAAACTCACAGTTATTAACAACCACACCTAAACCAAAAGCAAACTAAAAGGACAGCTAGATCAGCAGTGGAAACATAGAAATGAAGATCTCATGGAGGGTTAGCAACAGGGGAGTGGGAGGAGGAGAAGGGGGGAGAAGGTACAGAAAAAGTAGCATAGATGGTAGGTAGAAAATGGATGGGGGGGCAAGAATAGTAAGGGAAATATAGAATCGAAAGAACTTGAGATACATGGTCATAAACTAAAGAGGGGAATGGTGGGGGCGGGGAGTGCAGGGCGGAAGGTAATGAAGGGGGGGAATAGAACAACTGTAATGGCATAATCAATAAAATAAAAAAAAGAAAAAAATCAGCTGACAGTCTTATGGGAACTCCTTTGTAGGTAACTATCTGCTTTCAGATTTTGTCTTTACTTTTAACCTTTGGCATTTTAATTATGATGTTTTGGTGTGGTCCTCTTTGGGTCCATCTTGTTTGGGACTCTCTGTGCATCTTGAACTTGTATGTTCATTTCCTTCACAAAATTAGGGAAGTTTTCTTTCATTATTTAAAAAAATGTTTTCAGTTGCTTGCTCTTTAATATGACATTAAAAGGACATGCTGCCCTATCTGGTGTGGCTCAGTTGGTTGAGCACCATCCTGTAAACTGAAAGTTTTCGTGTTTGATTCCCTGTTGGTTGGTGAAGGCGCATCCTCAGTTATTGTTCAGTCTATGGTCCACAGGAATGTACAAAGGGCGACCAATCCATGTTTCTGTCTTACGTCAATGTTTCTCTCCCTTCCTCTCTCTCCCTTCCCCTCTTTCTAACATCAATAAGCATGTCCTCTAGTGAGGATTTTAAAAAAGAAAAATGAAAGTTAAAAAGACAAGCCACTCGCCCTTTTGCCTTATTTCCAAATTTAAATCATTTAATTGTTAAAGTTTCATATTTGGTGTTTTGTTGTTCAAATAGTCTATCAATTTAAAGCAGTTTTCACCTATTCCTAATTTACCTTTTTTCTCCTTTTTAATAAAAATGGTTTTCCAATTCTATCAACTTTAAGCTCTTGGTATAATGAAATACACGATTTTAAAATTTATTCTTTCAGGGGGAAGGGAAGCAGAAAGAGAGAAACATCAACATGTGAGCGAAACATCAATATGCTGTGTCTGGGCACACACCGCAGCGGGGATGGGGGGGTGGGGTCCAGGGGACTCATGCAACTCAGGCACATGCACTGACTGGGAATCCAACCAGCCAACTTTCATTTTGCAGGACGATGCCCAGGCAGCTGAGCGAGGCACGGGGTGCTAGGCAGTCAGAGCCCACCCTTATATTCTTTTTTTTCTTATATTCTTAAAATAAAACTTCCTTGAGCATGGTGTATTTTAATATGACTGACTTCAACATGCTGGTGTTTATGATTCTTAAAAAGCTCTTTATAAATGAGATCATCGCTTCCCAGCCTTTTGGCTAAGATCAAGTGTATAAATAAGATCAATTTTAGCATAAATTGGGAAACTTTCCAGCTTTCTCCTTCTAGAGCAATTTAATTGTTATGGGCTTTATCTGTCCTTTGAAAGCTTAAAAGCCTGCAGCAACAGAGCCAGCTGGGTTCAGCGTATGGAGCTGAGGCCAGACACACACTGAAGAGAGGTCTCAAACTGTTCCATTTCTTGACTGGTTATTAGCCTATTCTCTTGCGTATTTTTGCTGTTGCTGCTGGTTTGGGAGGTTTTGTTGTTGTTGCTTTACCTTGTCATGGGAATATTGGAAACTTGGTTTCCCTAGACCATCTCTTTGCTGAAACTCACCAGTAAGCAAACTAATGCAATTTAAAACAACATTTTTCTGTAGCTCAGTGGATTGAGCGCAGGCCTGTGAACCACAGGATTGCGGCTCGATTCCCAGTCAGGGCACATGCCTGGGCTGCAGGCCAGTTCCCAGCGGGGGATGCAGGAGAAGCAACCATACATTGATATTTCTCTCCCTCTCTCCTTTACTTCCCCTCTAAAGATAAATAATAAATAAAATCTTTTTAAAAAACCCACCTGGCTGGTGTAGCTCAGTGGATTGAGCACAGGCCTGCGAACCAGAGGATAACGGTTCAATTCCCAGTCAGGGCACATGCCTGGGTTGCAGGCTGGTTCCCTGCAGGCCAGTTCCCAGCAGGGGGCGCATAAAAGGCAACCATACATTGATGTTTCGTTCCCTCTCTCCTTCCCCTCTAAAGATAAATAAATAAAATCTTAAAAAATAAAAAAAATATAAATAAAAACATGTTTCCCTCCCATTTTATCGGGCAAATTTAAAATAAGACATCTAATGTTGGTGAGGCCTTCGCTAGGCAACTAAGGGGGTTCATCAAAAGGAAAGAAAATACCCAGGCACTTGAGATATCCTGGGCACTAATAATGCTGTTATCTTATGTGGGTACAGGTGACCTGGTGAGTACAGTTTATAAAAATTCATTAAGCTTTGTACTGATACTATGTATAGTTTTCCATATGTGTATTATATTGTAATAACTTTTTAAAAACATGGCTTTCTGTCCTGACTTGTGGAGCTCAGTAGATTGAGCAACCAGCTAAGAACTAAAAGGTCACAGGTTCAAGTCCCAGTCAGGGAGCATGCCTGGGTTGCAGACCAGGTTGAGGAGTGCAAGAGACAATCTCTCTCCTGCACTGATGTTTCTCTCCCCACAAAAATAAAAAATTTTAAATATTTAAAATAAAAAACATTCGCCACAGCCCACAGCTATGTATAATGGCTGTACTTACCTGTGACCTGAGGTCCCTTTTAAGGCAATTACACCCGGCTCCAGGGCTCCTGATCCCTTCACTCGAAAAAATTAAATGGCTTCTGCTCCCTATTTTCTAGTGTTTCTGGGTCCCTCCGTTAAAATGGAGGTGGCGCCCATCATTTTCCGGGAGGGTTTCCTGGGAGACCGAAAACGAACCCCAGCATTTCACCCGGTGGAAGCTCCGCGTCTGAAAAGCTGCCCCGCCCCCCACGGAGGCCCGCCAGAGTCACGTGACCCCCGCCTCAGCTGACCCCAAGAGACCGGAAGAAGAAAGTCCCTGGGCCGGGCTTCCTGGCGCTATGGTGAGTTTTCGGGGGCGCGAGGCAGGGTGCTGGGCGGGAAGGGCAGTGTCCGCCAGGTCTCGTGGACTGCCCCAGTGTGAGGGTGGGGCGCGGGCCGGAGGAGATGGGGCGGCCGCGCTGCCTCCTCTGCAAACACCTCGGGTGCAGTCGTGCGGGCCGAGAGGCTGCCACGGAGAAGACCCCGACCTCCGCCGGCAACCGTTTGGGCAGGACCGGCCGGTTGCGTGCGAGTCCCGGTTGCGTGCGAGTCCCGAGCGATACCTTCACGAGAAGGAAGGGCCCCCACCCCGCGGGACGCGTCTTGCGCTCTTCGGGAGCGGTAGTCCTCCCAGGCCTTCCCTGGTTCCAACAGGACCTCCCAGAGGTGCCCACTTCCAGCCCTCCTGTGGGACTTGGGCAAGAACTTGCTTAGAATTGGGCTCAGTCTAATCATTCTTAACTGTTAAGAAGGCCCTCTCTTCCCAGAGACAGAAAGGAGTAGGTTTGGGGTCGGTACCAACGACGCATCCATCCATTCATTCCTGCAGCAGATTTTGAGTGCATACCCTATACCATGCACCGCGCCGGGCACTGAGACTTGAGCTACATAAGGGAAGGGCAAAATTGGAGACTACATTTGGCAGTCATAATTCAGACTTAAGAGGGAGGAGACCTAACTGTACCGTAAGCATGGTATTAGGAAAGGATCCTGAGGGCCCTGGGGCAGGAAGGAGAGCTGGCTCCCTGCATTGCAGTTTGTGTACCAGGAGTTAGAAGTCAGGAGGTCAGTGCTATAGAGAGCATGGCTTCCTAGGAATGGATGCATTTTCCCCAGTTGGAAGAGTATAAACTGGAGGTTAGTGAAAGATGAGGCTGGATAGGTAAGCAAAGACCAAAGCTTAGTGGGCCTTGACAAGCACGTAAAGGAGTCTGAACTTTAAGAAGAGGGCACCGGAAAGCTAGGAAGATCTTTTGGCTAAGAGGAGCAGAGAGCTGAGGCTGGGGCATCAGACCCCCCAGGAGATGGTGGTGACCTGAGTTAGGGTGGAGAAAGTGAAGCTAGAAGCTGGGGGAGTCAGCAGGGCTCAGGCACTAAATGCAGAAGGAAAAGAAAAGAAGGTGTCTGGGTTTGGTTCCTAGGTAGTTGTGCTCAGTGGGGCGGGAAACCCAGTAGGGCAAGCAGGTGTCAGTGGGAAGAGCATCAGTTTTGTCAGGTTTGTTCCCAGCCCTGGTAGATGTGTGGAAAGATGGACATGTATGTTGCTGTGGGCTAGAGTTTTGCCAGGCAAACAGGACAAAGGATAACCTATCAGGGCAATGGAGGACACTGGCAAGATGTGATTGACAGAGTGAGTTTGCCTTCTAACAGAGGAGAGAATAAATAATAAAATGTGATATGTGCTGTGATAATTGCTGTGGAGATCAAGGAAGAAGCATTATTATTTATTCTCAAGGAGAGAATAAATAATAAAATGTGATATGTGCTGTGATAATTGCTGTGGAGATCAAGGAAGAAGCATTATTATTTATTCTCAAGGAGAGAATAAATAATAAAATGTGATATGTGCTGTGATAATTGCTGTGGAGATCAAGGAAGAAGCTAGAGCATGATAGTAAAGAGTGGTTTTATTTTTTTAACATCTTCATTGAGAGATATGTGCAAATATACAGTTCAGTATATTTTGACACGTATGTGCTCATGAAAGCATTACCAGGATCAAGATAGTGAACACGTCTACTGGCCCCTGAAATTTCATACAAGAGGCTATTTTAGAAAGTATAGTCAGAGAAGGCTCATCAGAAGAGGTGTCATTTGAACAGAGATCTGAATAAAGTGAGAGGTCAAGCAAGCCACAAGGACGATGGGAATGTGCCTGGTGTGACAGGAACAGCAGGAAGGCCAGTGTGGCTGGAGCCAGGGAAGAAAAAGTGGTGAGAGAGGTCACTGGCTGCGAGGCCAGGGACTTTGTATTGTTTCATGGGATCTATCACAGAGGAGGCACTCAGTCGATATTTGCCAAAGAGTTCAACTCCTTGGATAGGCGTCAGAACTAGGACCGGTGGGAGGGTGGGTTGGGGAGAGAGTTCTCTAAACAGCCTGGTATCAGGAAGATTGAGTGGCCAGAAGGTATCCATCTTGAACAGGGAGCAGGGGTCCCTGAGGAACAGTAGTGTGGGAGACACTTGGCCACACCTCAGTCCTCCCTCCAGCCTGACTGCTTGCTTTCCTCTTGTGCAGAGGTTCCGGTTCTGCGGTGATCTGGACTGTCCCGACTGGGTCCTGGCGGAGATCAGCACACTTGCCAAGATTGTTGAGTGCACAGGGTCTTCTTGGGGGTGGAGAAGACAGAGGGATTGTGGGTGGGGGCTCTGGGACTGGAGGGAGGGTGGTGAGGTCACTCTGGGGCCTGGGCCTCAGCGCTCTCAGCTCGTCCTAGCATGTTGTGTGACTGATCACATGGCTGACCCTCTCTGAGCAGGCCCTCCAGCATGGAGGGGTGAGGTGGGCCAGTCTGGCTGATGTAAGGCCTTCCCCTCCAGTCCTCTGTGAAGTTGAGGCTACTGTGCAGCCAGGTGCTGAAGGAGCTTCTGGGACAGGGGATTGATGTGAGTGCCTGGCCCAGCAATGCTTTGTCCTGCAACCCAATGACCCCTACTGTCCTGAGAGTGCCCCAGACCAGGGAGGTGGGTGATTAGCCTTATGCCCTCCCTGGATACTTCCCATTCTTACCACAAAATCTGGATTGTGGAGGTAGGGAGGGGTAGTGAGCAGGGGTCTGGCACCCACCCCTAAGGGCCTCCTTCTCCCACAGTACGAGAAAGTCCTGAAGCTCACTGCCGATGCCAGATTTGGTGAGTACCCCAGACTCCACAGACCTTTGGGCAACTCTGGCTCCTTGGCCTGAGGCGTGGTCCAGAGGCACCCCCACCCAGCATCCTGCCCTGACCCACCTCTGCAGAGGAACCTGAGGAGAAGAAATTGACGGTCCTGCCCCCAGAGTCCTCTGCCAGCAGTAGCAATGCTCATTGCTCAGGGAGGCCTGGGGGCTGTGAACTGAAGATAGTACGGCAACAAAGGTGGCTGGGGCCACAGTGACACCCCTACCCCATCCCTGGATCTCCCCAGAGTCGGGTGATGTGAAGGCCATGGTGGCAGTACTGAGTTTCATCCTCTCCAGTGCGGCCAAGCATAGTGTGGATGGCGAGTCCTTGTCCAGTGAATTGCAGCAACTGGGGCTACCTAAAGGTATGGGAACCTGGGAAGGCCAAGGGCTGCAGGGCAGCAAGCCAGCCTGTGTGACCCTGAGATGCACCCTGCCCTCTCTGGGCCAGGAGCCTGAGACCTGCCCTCTGAGCAGCCCCAGTGCCCACCTACTGCTCAGGGGACCTCCATTCTGCCCCTAGAGCACGCAGCCTGCCTGTGTCGCTGTTACGAGGAGAAGCAAAGCTCCCTGCAGGAGCACCTGCGGGCCTGCAGCCTGCGTGGTGAGTGTTGAGTCAGCCAAGGTGAGGTCTGGGGTCCAGTCTGGAACGTGTATATAGTATTGGAGATACTGTCCTCAGAAGAGGACATGGTCACATGTCACTGGCACAGAGCCGGCACTCTTGACTTTAGTCTGGTTTCTTTCCTCTGAGATCTGCTGTGGATAATCTGAGCTCCCAATTACTGAGTACTTCCTTTGGATCAGAGGTCAAAGGAATAAGAGCTTCTCAAAGGCCACACAGCCTTGAAGAGTTGAGGGCTGAGTAGGGGGTGGGCTGAGAACTGTCTGGCCTTGAGCCTGAGAGAACCCCGCCCCGTCTTGCAGTGAACCGGCTGGCAGGTGCAGGCTGGCGGGTAGACTACATCCTGCGCTCCAGCCTCCTGCAGTCTGTGGAAGAGCCCATGGTGCGCCTGAGGCTGGAAGTGGCAGTTGCCCCAGATGCCCCGGCCCAGGTTGTTGCCCTGTCCCTCTCAGCAGACAAGTTCCAGGTCCTCCTGGCAGGTAAGGCTCAGCTGTACCTAGAGGGCTTAGGGGCTCTCCCAGATGCCACCTGACTGCTGCCCAACTCCCTGCCTTTTGCCCTTTAGAACTGAAGCAGGCCCAGACCCTGATGAGCTCCCTGGGTTGAGGACAAGAGTGTTTGTGGCCCGCATGGAGCTGCCCTACCCATGTTGGGTAGCTGTCCTCTGAACTTCTTTTCATGACCCCAGGTCCAGGACCCTGGAGGCCTGGCCCCCTGGATCTCTGGCTTTCCAGGTTCCCATCTTGAGAATTCAGCATAAGGGTCCTGAGGACTTTTCCAATATTGTCTTTTCCCCATGAAAGATACTTGTTGATGGTTTTTCTGAGTAGGAAGAATAAACAAATGTAAAGGAGTGTGTGCCTAGGTTTCTTTTAGGTTCACATCAAAGGCTTTCATGAGAGAGACCCAAGTAACATGGACTTCCCTGCTCCCTGGCCCAACACTCATCCTCTCTTTTCAAGGTGATTGAAGCAGGTCAGTGGTGAGGCACACAGAGGACCAAAATGGAACAACAGCTTGTCTGTAGAGGGGAAAGTCAGAGTTTTAGCTCCCAGTCCTCTGGTGCTCGTGGCTGTGCCCTCTCTGTTGGTCCTTAGGCTGGCAGCAAGCAGTGGCCCCAATGCCAGGTGCCCCAAGTAGAGAAAGGAGAGGACCTTGTCTCCCTGCTGTCTTCTGTAAGAAGAGGGAATGGCCCCTGCCTGAACCACTCATTTGGCATGAATGGTTATGGACTGAATGTGCCCCCCACCTCAAATTCATGTGTCAAAGCCCTAACTCCCAGTGAGATGGTTTTGGAGATGGGGTCTTTGGGAGGTGATTATGTTTACATGAGGTTAAGAGAGTGGGACCCTAATGAGGTGCCTCTTTTAATTCCTTATAAGAAGAGAAAGACACGGACACTCTCCACAAGCATGTACCAAGGAAAGGGCTCCAGAAAACACAGTAAGAAGGCAGGAGAGGACTCTCACCAGGAACCAAATCTGGTAGCTCCTTGATCTTAGACTTAGATGTCTGTCGTTAGAGCCACCCACTTTATGATACATTGTTAAAGCAGCCTGAGTAGAGTAGAACAAGTGGCCTCCAAGGACTGACTTAAACCAACCAGGGCTCCTTGTGGAAGAGACTAATTCCAAGGCTGGGAGAGGGAGAATACAAGGGGAACATAGAATATCTTAGGAAACAGTCAAAGAATAATGAATCATTTCAAAGGGAGCCAACTGGCCAAAGACTGGACCATTTAGGCATCAAAAGGGTAAGGACAGACTCTTCCTGACTCTGCTTTTGAACTGAGGGAGCAGATGTGCTTTACCTGATGCTTCCATTGGGTGCATCTGCAGTCCTTGGACTGAAATGTAAGAGAAGGGAGACTGGCTAGGATTCTCAGGACTCCAGTAACACAGCAAAGTATTCCTTAGATTTCCTTTTTGCTTCATGTATCCTGGGCTAGAGAAGTAGTAACCTGGAAATGCCAACCCACAGGCATAAATTACATACATACATACATACATACATACACATCCAATAAAGTCTGCTCTCTGTAGCCAAAGGACCAGGAAAGAGGTGGCACAGCAAGACAGCAACCTTGTGCAAGTAACCTCTGTGCTTCGGCCGCACACACGGGCAGCTCCTCCACACAGCAGCAGAGACTGCGTAGGGCACAGACCCCCAGGCAGTTAGGAGGCAGCCTCCCCTCCCCACTGGCACTGTGTCAGAGGAGGCCTGCTTAAGAGACGATTAAGATCCAGAGTCTCATAATACCCAAAATGTGCAGGATTCAATTAAAATATTCATATTCATCATACCAAGAATCAAGAAAATCTCATATGAGAAAAGAGCCAATGCCAACACTAATACGATTCAGATACTAGAATTCTGTGTTGATTTTTAAAACAACTGTCATGAAAACGCTTTAAGTCTCAGCAAAGAAATAGAAGATACAAAGAACCAGATAGAAATTTTAGAACTGAAAGCTACAATAACCAAGGTAAATCTCAATGGATGTGCTTAACAGTAGAAGAAAGGTTGATAGAAATTACCCAAGTTGAACAACAGAGAAAATAGCTTGGAAAACAAACAACAAAACAAAAGCACCTCAGAGAACTGTAGGGTTATAACAAAATATCTGATATTTGTGTCACCACAGAGTCCAAGAAGGTGAAGAGAAAGATGGTGGGACAGAAAAAGTATTGAAAGAAAGAATGGCTAAAAAAGGGGCAGGGGTTACTATAGAATTAACAAGCAGAATAGACCCCCACATAGGTCAGAAGCAAATAAATCCATGCCATAATCAAACTTCTGAAAACTAAGGAAAAGACAATTTTGAAAGCAGCAAAAGAGAAATGACATCTTACCTACAGGGGGGAAACCACGAGAATAACAGTGAATTTCTCATCAGAAATCACAGAGGCCAGAAGGACGAAGCACAGCTTTTTCAGGCCCTGAAAGAAAATCATCAGTCCAGAATTCTATATTCAGTGAAAATTAACTCAAGAATGAAAGGAGAGCCCTGGCTGCTGTGGCTCAGGGAATTGAGCACGGGCCTGTGAAGCAAAGGGTGGTTCCCAGTCAGGGCACATGCCTGGGCTGTGGGCCAGGTCCCCGGTAGGGGGCATGTGAGAGGCGGCCACACATTGATATTTCTCTTCCTTCTTTCCTTCCCCTTTCTCTAAAAATAAAATCTTTTTTAAAAAGGGAAATCAAGACATTCTCAGATTAAGGATAAATAATATAATTTGTTACCAGAGACCTAACCTAAAAACAAAGGAGCTTAAAGGAGGATCACTAAAGAGAAGGGAAATAATAAATGAAGGAGTCCTGGAAACAGTAAGAATACAGGCACAATAAACCTCCCTTTCTCATGTATATTTTATTTTTGACAGTTGAAGCAAAACTATAATAATATTAGATGTGGATCTCAATGTATATACCAGGAATATTTCAGGTTATTATAAACGGGAGATGGTAAGGGAGGTAAGGTTTCTACACTGCAGTCAAATTGACAAAATGTGGTTATGTGTATAATGTAGGTCCTTAATGTCGTCAGTAGGTTCTGTAACTTTAAGTGAAACAGTATATAACAAAACCAATTTTCCCATAGGCTAATTGATATAAATAAGAGTTAAGTTCCTACAGCATCTCATCTGTTATATGTGGAAGGACCATTTCAAAAGCTGTATGCTACAGTGTAATACACTAAAAAACAATTTGGATGCAGTAACTGGAATTCTAAAAAAATGTTCAAGTAGCCCACAGGAAGGCAAAAAAGAAAAAAACGGAATAAAGACAAAGAGTGGGGCAGGTAGAAGAGTCGTGAAAGTGCTAGATCTCATCAACTGTGTAGTATTAGCTTCACTTCCCAGGTAGTTTTGCCTCTTCTGTGTTACCGCAGAATCCCACATGCGCTTCTTTCATTGCTGTTGTAACACAACACTGTAATTGTGTATTTAATCATTTGTCTCTTACCAGCCTGAGTTTTTTAAGGATGGGAATTGTGTTCCGTGTTCAAATAGCCCCAGTGCCTAATAAAGTACTCTCAGTGAAGAGGGCGGGGGAGAGGAGATAAGGGCTGCAATGGATTTAAAGATGCTGAAAGTAAAAAAAGAAACGTGAGGCTGGTTCCTCACCCATGTGTGGGGGATAAAAATTCGGGAGGGATCTCTCTGGAGTGAGGAGTCCCAGGCCCACACCAGGGCCCCCAGCCCAGGGTTCCAGTGCCAGGAAGGCAAATCCCCACAAGTGGCTGCAAAACCCAGAGGGGAGTGCTCGCTTCAGCAGCACATGTACTGAAATTGGAACAATACAGAGATGGGCGTGGCCTCTGCACAAGGATGACACGCAAATTTATGAAGTGTTCCACTGGGAAAAAAAAAAAGCCAGAGGGTGTTGAGTAGGTGGGAAAAAACTGCTGGAGCCCCAGGCAGTTCCTCTGAAAGAACCCACACCCAGACTCACCTACTCAGACTCACTCCCTCTGAGCTCCAGCACTGGGGGAGCAGCTTGGAAAGTGCTAGTGGTATACAGAGAGCAACTGAAGTGTCTGGCATCAAGGTAAGCAGAGGCCATTGTTCCTTTTCTGAACCCTCCACCCACAAAGCCAGCAGGCTGGTGCCATATCTGAGACTCCATCACCTGGTTAACACTTTCCGGTCCACCTTGGAGAACCCAGAGGCTCTGCTCCACCTAAGTTACTGGCCCACCCAAGCTGCTTTTCCGTATGAATGGTTGGTTGTGGCCTCACAAATTCCTAAATTGTCTCAAACAAGTGACAGCTGGCTTCAGTGAGCCCCAGGCCTGGCAGCCAGCCTCGATTCACAGAATGGCTTCACTTACGAATTCGCCAAGCCCAGCATAACCAGCAGCCACCTCAGATTGCTTTATAGCTCAGGCTCAGGGCAACCTCAGGTGGGGGCTGAACTTGGCCTGCACCACCTGGGAAACCCCATGGCCAGCACATTAGACAGTTACAGGCCATGTGGGAGCACCACCATCCTGCCCCTGCACAGCTGAACCTCCACAGAGGTCAGAGGCTGGTAGTCAGTGGGCACAGTCAGTCCTTGCAGCTGACTGGCCTGAGTAAATTCCTCCCATTGATCTGCCAATAGCAACCAAGGCTCAACTACAAGAGGAGGGTGTACTCAGCCCGCACAAAGGCTGCACCTGGAGTGCCCAGCTTGGGTGATAAGGGAGGTTGTGCCACTGGATCCTACAGGACACCTAACTATATTAGGCCACACTACTAAGACATAGAGTCAAAGCAGTTCTACTAATACATGTAAACCCAGGGAGGCTGTCAAAATGAGGAGACAAAGAAACACGGCCCAGGCCCTGGCTGGTGTAGCTCAATGGATTGAGTGCGGGTCTGCGAACCAGAGTATTGCGGTTCGATTCCCAGTCAGGGCACATGCCTGGGTTGCAGGTCAGTTCCTGGCAGGGCCACACAAGAGGCAACCATACATTGATCTTTCCCTCTCTCCTTCCCTTCCCCTCTAAAGATAAATAAAATCTTAGAGAAAAAAAAAAAAGAAAGAAAGAAACATGGCCCAAGTGAAAGAGCAAATCAAAACTCCAGAAAAAGGGCTAAACAAAATGGAGGTAAGCAGTCTGTCAGATGCAGAGTTCAAAACACTGGTTATAAGGATGCTCAAGGAACTTAGTGAGGACCTCAGCAGCATAAAAAAGATCCAGTCAGAAATGAAGGATACACTAATTGAAATAAAGAACAACTTGCAGGGAAACAGCAAAGTGGATGAAGCCGAGAATCAAATCAATGATTTGGAACATATGGAAGACAGACAACTGGAACTTCAAGAGGTCCAACATTCATATCATAGGGGTACCAGAAGGAGAAGAGAAAGAGCAAGAATTTGGAAATCTATTTGAAAAAATAATGAAATAAAACTTCCCTAGCTTGGTATAGGAAATAGACATGCAAGTCCAGAAAGCACAGAGAGTGCCAAACAAAATGGATACAAAGAGGCCCACTCCAAAATGCATCATAACTAAAATGCCAAAGGTTAAAGATACAGAGAGCATCTTAAAAGCAGCAAGAGAAATTATCTACAGGATCATCCCCATAAAACTGTCAGCTGATTTCTCAAAAGAAACTTTGCAGGCTAGAAGGGATTGGTGGGAAATATTCAGTCACAAAAAGCATGGACCTATGGTCAACATTGCTCTACCCAGAAAAGATATCATTCAGAATCAAAGGGAAGATAGAGAACTTCCTAGACAAGAAAAAACTCAAGGAGTTCATTGTCACCAAATCGTTATTATATGAAATGTTGAAGGGACTTATTTAAGAAAAAGATCAAAACTCTGAACAATAAAATCACACAAAACCACAAATTTATTAACAATTGAATTTAAAAAACAAACAAACAAACAAACAAACAAACAAACAAACAAACTAAGCCTTGGTTGGTGTGACTCAGTGGATTGAGTGCTGGCCTGTGAACCAGAGGGTTGCCAGTTCAATTCCCAGTCAGAGTACATGCCTGGGTTGCAGGCCAGGTGCCTGGTTGGGGGCATACAAGAGGCCACTGGTTGATGTAGCTCTCACACATCAGTGTTTCTCCTCTCTCCCTCATTTCCCATTTTTCTAAAAATAAACAAAATGTTAAAAAAAAAAACCAAAGCAAACAAGAAGAACAGACAGAATAATGGACATGGAGAGTGTTTTGATGGTTGCCAGATGTGAGTAGGGTGTAAGGGGAATGTGTGAAGAGGTGAGGGGATTAAGAAGTGCAAATAGGTAGTTACAGAATAGCCATGGGGATGGAAAGTACCACATAAGAAATGGAGTAGCCAAAAAAACTTATATGCGTGACCCATGGACATGAACAATGGTGGGGGGATTGCCTGAGGGAATAAGGGGTGATGGGTAGAGGGGGGAAGAGGGGAGAAAATCAGGACAACTGTAATAGCATAATCAATAAAATATAATTTAAAAAATCTGAGTCCCTAAAAATTTATGCCTCTCCCCACAAAAGCCCCAAATCAATCCTAATTTGTTACCATTGGATGTTTTTATTGCATCGAATTCTTAGTCTAAAAATTAATCATTAAAAGGAAGGAATTCAGCCCTTGCTTGTGTAGCTCAGTGCATTGAGCATGGGCTGCAAACCAAAGGGTCGCCAGTTCGATTCCCATTCAGGGCACATGCCTGGGTTGCAGGCCAGGTCCCCAGTGGGGGGGCCATGTGAGAGGCAACCACATACTGATGTTTCTCTCCCTCCCTTTCTCCCTCCCTTCCCTTCTGTCTAAAATTAAATAAATGAAATCTTAAAAAAAAAAAAAAGGGAAGGAATTCAGGATTTATCCTTAGTATTTCAGGATAACCAAATAGTCAACAAGGTAAAGCTCTTTACAGAAGAATTCCAACTGATGTAGAAGGAGTGAAAGAATAAGAAAAGAACCATTTTGTGACTCCCAGTGAAATACTTGGTTGAGGCAGGATTGTCAAGGATGCTAAAATCATATGATAAAGGTGAATGTGATGTAAAACTGGGTATTTGTGTGGTGCCAAACAATCACCTCAAACAACCCATTGCCCCTTGGCTGGTAAGCAAACACTCTGGCATGTCTACATAGTGGAATACTACTCAGCAATGAAAAGGATTGAATGATAAGCATAACAATCTGGATGAATCTCAAATGCATTGTACTAAGAGAAAGAAACCAGAATCAATGTATGTGAACTATAATTGAAAAAAAATCAAACCACTAAGTTGTATGCCTGGAGCCAATACAAAATAATATTAAAAGTAAACTGTAACTGAAAAATTTAAAAAAAAAACGAAAACAGGTATCAAGTACGCGCAACATTTTATAATGGTTTGCTTTATAAGTGTTTGCATGGACAGACTGCCTCTGCATCATGAATTAATGTTCTAGAGTACTATTCAAGTAAGTTATACTTCTTTAATTGATAAATCAATATCTTATTATACTGATTTTTTAAAAAAGATACACAAAGAAATCAGACTCAAATGACTACATACCGAGGATTTCATTTATATGGTGTTATGGAGAAGGCAAAAGTGTGGGACAGAAAGCAGATCCAGTGGTTGCCAGACCGTAGGGTGAAAGTGTAGATTACAAAGCTGCAATGGCAAGTTTTTTTTGGGGGGGGGATGGAAATGTATTATCTCTTGATCGTGGTGATGGTTCCATGAGAGTATGTATTTATCAAAACTTGCATTCTAAAAGGTGAATTTTACTGTATATATATTATACCTTAATTTCAACAAAAAGTGACCTACCAGAAATCACCTCCATAGATTACTTAGTGGCCAGAAGGTGTAAAATATCCCTTTACTACACAGAGGTCTGGCTGTCATGGCCTCATCTGTGATCGATTTCAGCCTCACTAAAGTGGGCCAATCAGCTATTGGGTGCCTCCTACTCTTAATGTGGTGGAGTCTGCAGTACAGAGCAGCATCTAGGAGATGTCCTTGAATATATATGTAGCTGAGCCTTTGGATCTGACTCCCAGTGTGCAGGAAAAACTAGACAGAGGAACAAGGCTGAAGAATGTTTGAGGAAACATTCAGAAAATCCCAGAATGCAATGGGACATCTTAAAGAACACCTGGCCTGGACTCTTCAGAAAGATCAGTGTCATGGACACAAAGAAAAGGGAGTGAGATGGGAGGGTGAGGAGGGTGATTTCATCTAGGTTAAAAGTGATTAGAAAGAGACATACAGACCAAGCTCTGTGCAGCGGCAGTATTGCAGTCAATGAGGTTTACCCGAAATGTGATCACTGCTAAGTGAAAACTGTCCCTAAGGCCCTGCCACGACAGCTTGAAATATGTAGGCACTGGTAATTTTTGACAGTCCCTGTGGATGCTGAGGGGAAAAAAGGGCATATAAATCTTGATTGGACTCTGCCTTGAACAAAAAGACATTTTGGGGACCAGTTTGAATGTGGACTAGCTGTTAGATGATATGAAGAAGTTATTGTTAAATTTATTAGGTATGATAAGGCACAGATTTTCAGCCACTGTGTAGCAGCTCACTGTTGTGCTGCGAGAATCTTTACAACATGCAACACCTGACTCTTTAGTCAGGGCACTGCCTCTTTTCCCTGAGATTGTCAAGTAAAAAAATGACAACAGCCTACAAACAATAGTCTTCAGATGCATGAATCTAGCACCAGATGAATGAATAAACAATTTTTATTCACCTGGTATGAATAAATAAAGATTGTATCTATTTTTTGTCAGGTAGGAAAAAATAAATTTTTGGTGTGCCGCAGAATTTTTAGTAATTTAGTTTATGTGTGCCAGAGATCAAAGGGTTGAAAATCTCTGGATAAAGGTATTGTGGCTTTGTAGGAAATTGCTTTTTAGAGCTGCATGCTGAAGTATTAGGAATGAAATGACATAATTTAATTTACTTTAAAATACTTCTGCCAAAACAAATGAATTAATAGATGAAGGGGGGATGAGGTAGAGGTCCTAGTATGAAGGGGGAAAGTCATGTTTATGGGTCAAGCACACAGGAGGAAATGCAAACTCCTTACAGAAATCCTTGAGGTTTGATCTGAACTTGCTTGTGTCTGTCCTCACCTCCAAACAGTCTCGGCTACACTCCAGCCTACACAGGCCTTTCTTCAATGAGCCAATCAGTTCCGTTCTTCCAGGCCTTTGCACTGGCCATCCCTTCCACCTGCCATATTATCTTTATTTTATTTTTATAGCACCATGTTAAGAGTTTATTATAAATTTGATTCACAGGCCACAAGGAAATAAAAGGACTATGTAAAGTCATTTGGGAAATAGGGCGCTGAGGAGGGCAAAGGTGAGTCTAGGGCGTTGGTGGGCACCCACTGGGGAGGGGGGCCGTAGAAGGGAAACTAAACAATCTGTGAGGTTCCAGCATAACAAATGAACAGGTCTATGATAAAGTGGGCCTGAGGAACTGGGCCCGCACCTCTATAGAGCTACTTCCATAACTCTGTGGCCAGGAGTCCGAGAAGTCCTTGAATCTATGGGAGAGGGGTCTGCATTCCTGGAGGGAACCTGCCCACTGAAGTCCCTCATCCAGGGAGGATCCCCAGTGGGGGACCCATGAGAGGCCTCATACCAGGAAGTGGGACCATCATGCCCAAAAGGGGTGCCCCTCAAGGGCCCATAGGTGGGTGAGGACACCTGTGGCTAAGTGGGTTGAGATCCCTGCAATACTAGTTGCGGTAGCAGCTGCAACAATGCCTCTATTTCTGTGGGGTAATCATCTGTTGGGATGACCCACCAACCCCAGCAAGTCCTGCAGGCGCCTGAGACCGGGGAACACCAGCTGGGGATTCCTCTGCCAGCAGCCCTGCCCATCATCCCTGGGCTCCCAGCTGCTCCATCATGTGGAACTCCGTCAATACCAGTGTCTTTGGGAGGAGGTCCCGCTACTGTAACTGAGACATGGTTCTCCCCTGGTCTCCCCTCCAAGCTGCTGTAGACCAGGGACTCGTTTCTCTTTTCTCTTTCGCTTGAGTTCTTTGGCTTGATGTTCCTGAATTCATCACAGTCACACTGGATCAAATTCATATGCTAGTTGAAAGCCTCGAAGGTGCCCATAAAGACACCACCATCCTGCAGGATGCGCCTCATCCTGTAGTGGGTGTGGGCAGCATCTTGGCTTGTCCGCAGCCATGGTGGAGGTTTTGATGACTCCACGTCCCCTGGCATGTTGTCTTGTACCCCCTGTTTGCTGGATACTTATGAGGTCTCAGCCTGAATGTCCCTGAAGAGAGACCCTCCCCCACAAAACCATCTGATGTGGGTTCTGCTTCTCGCCTGTTTATTTGTCGCTTGGCTGCACTTCTCACCCACAGGTGGTAGAGATGTTTCTGTTTGTAAGTTATGCCTGTGTGTTGATATTTAGGGCCCCCACTGGGTCCCCAGGGCCTTCGTTCATCGTGCACCTGCGCGCTCCCTCCACACATCTGGCAGGAGCCTCTACTTTGAGACCCCGCTGCTGTTTTAGTCAGGGAGTACCGACCCTGCCACCGGCCGGGTGACTTCCCCAGCCACAGAGACAGCTGTGACACGGGACCTCAGAACCGACCTTGGATCCCGCGGTGCCACCCTCCCGAACAGGTGACTGCCCCAAAGCCTTTCGCACACGCCGAACCACCCCAGCTCGTGGATCCCACCCCAAGACCTCGGCTTGCCGCCCGAGGAACTACATTTCCCAGCGGGCGCCGGAGCAGGAACCACAGCTGGGGCACGATTGGCCCGCAGCCTCAACTCCGTAGTGGCTGCGGGTCGGCGGAGAAGGGTGCGGGGAGCGGGTACGTGGGAGGAGGACGGCACGCGGGGTGTGTACCGCAGACCGAAGAGAGGATGAGATTTAGGGGCCGTGGAGAAAAAGGGAGCCAGAGTGTACCGAGGACAGGCAGCAGGGGTGAGTGGTGGGGATGCGGGGGAGACGGCCAGAGAGTGCCGGTCCTTAGCGGAACTGGGATCTCGGACCTTTTCCCGCAGTTGGAATCCTCTCGGGTGCCGGGTCCTGGACGGCGGGAAGGTGGGTGAAGGGAAAGCGGGTCTCTCCTGGTTAAACTCCCTGATGCCCGACCACGCCTGCGGCTTCGATCCCCCCACCGCGTTGGCAAGAAGGGGAAAATGCAAGCTCCCCTTCCCCGCTGGGGGCCAGGGATTGGAAGAGGTGGAGTAGGTCCCCCTCTGTCCCTGGCACTGACCTGGGAGTGTCCTGTTCTGCCCTGGTGACCGTCTTACTGGCGACCTGTCTTCCTCCCTCGCAGCTGCGGGGACCTGGCTCCAGCCCAGACCGACCTCGAGGCACGTGCCTCCTCTCCTGCCTGTCTTCGCTCCGCTCCGCTCCGTCCTAAACTCGTCCTAACTGCCTGCTGAGCCTCTGAGCGTTAATTTCCCCAGATCCCCAGGTGGGGTCGGGCTCATTCCCTCGGCGATTGTGGCAACAGATAAGGTCGGTTCTGAGTGGTGGGGTGGCAAACACAATGGGCTTCCACTGGGGAGGAGGTGTAGGTTGAGGTGGACAACAGGCGATAAGACGGTTTCAGATTTGGGAATGCCATGAAGAAAACATGTGTCTGGGGGAGGTGGGGAGGCCAGTTTGGAAGGGTGGTCAGCATTCCCAGAATGAAGGGACAGCAGGGGCAAAGTGTGGGACTGGAAAAGCAGCATGCTTGGGGCAAGTGATTGAGGGGGAGCCAGGAACCAGGTGACAGCTGGTCCCAGGAAGGATCTGGACTTTATTCTAAGAGCTGCAAGTGTTCATGGGTGACCATCACGAAAGGCGTTAACAAACAAGACTGGAGCTCCCCAGTGCTCTGGGCTTCCCCAGCATTTTCAGGTGGGGACCAAAGGCTCTGGCCAGGCCAGCAGCATTTCCTGCAAAACCTACCAGTCCAGCATCTCTGATTCTCAGATTCTCCTCTGCAAAACAGGGGTGATAAATCCTACCTCACAAGGTGCACACCTGATCCAACTTGCAGTTCTCTTCCCCTCACAGGGCCTGCCCACTCCTGGCACAGAATGCCCGAGGGCCCTGAGCTGCACTTGGCCAGCCACTTCGTGAATGAGGCATGCCGGGGGCTGGTGTTTGGCGGGGCTGTGGAGAAGTCGCCTGTCAGCCGCAACCCTGAGGTGCCCTTTGAGAGCAGTGCCTACTGTATCTCAGCCTCAGCCCGGGGCAAGGAGCTTCGCCTGACACTGAGCCCCCTGCCTGGGGCCCAGCCCTCACGGGAGGCAATGGCCCTCATCTTCCGCTTTGGTATGTCTGGGTCCTTCCAGCTGGCACCCAGCAATGCGCTACCACCCCACGCCCATCTGCGCTTTTACACAGCTCCTCCTGGCCCCAGACTGGCCCTCTGCTTTGTGGACATCCGCCGCTTTGGGCACTGGGACCTCGGGGGCAAGTGGCAGCCAGGCCGTGGGCCATGTGTCTTGCTGGAGTATGAGCAGTTCAGGTAGGTAGGGCCAGCCCTAGGGGTGATGAGCACAGCCCTGGGCCTGACTCTCTTAGTGCCTTGTGGGTCAATGAGGGGCAAATCCCAGCCCCTTCTGAGCCTCAGTCCCTTCCTCTATAGACCAAGACACTATACTTCTCTGGGGACAGCTCTCTGAGCTAATGGATATGGAAAACCAAAATTGTTATGGGAGGTGGGAGCAAGAGGTGAACAGGAAGGCATGCCCCAAGGACGTAGCCAGTTGCTGTGGGAACTGAGGCAGGATCAGCACCCCACATTGCTTCTAGGTACCCTCAGGAGGCTAAGCAGAAAGGTGGAGGGGCTTTAACAGGAAAGAAGGGAGGCTGAGCAGGAAGGAAGGGTTTCAAGATGGTAGAATGGGGACTGCCAATAGACATGGTTTGAGTCAAGTTTTGTGGTCTTTCACATTTGCCTGCAGTAGGGGTAACAGTCTTACCTAGTTGTGATGCATGTCACCTAAGACGGCAGCCACCTCCCTTCCTCCAAAGAGGAAATGTATATGTCTGTTTGTGCCAGACCCCGTTCTAGGTGTTGGGGACACAGCAGTGATTGAGGTGGATGTGGACCTTGCTCCCACTGAGCCGAAGTTCAGGCAGGGTGTGGGGGAACAAGGAAACAACTAGATGAATTCATATAGACACATTCTTGAAAAACCCAAGAGGGACAGAATGACTTGGCTAGGGAGTGGGGGGCAGGGGGCATTAGGAAAGGCCACTCCAGGAGGAGACATTTGAGCTGAGGCCTGCCTGAGACCCAGCCATGCAAAGCTCTAGAGGAAAAGCATTCCAACTGACCAGAATCACAGGCACGAAGGTCTGGAGCCCATTTGGTGGACCCTCCCTTCCCTGGGGACAGCCCTCCTTGGCCTGGCCCTTAGAGACCGGGTTGCCCACTGAGGTGGGTCAGGCCATGTCTGGCACCACAGAAGGCAGTTGACTCCTGGCCTTCTCAGGCATGACCGACCCCCGAGGGCGCATCCAGGATACATCTGTGGTCCTGCACTCCCCCACCGTGCCTCTCCTGGGGGGTCAGGCCACAGGTCAACTGTGTCAGCAGGCTCTGAAGTCCCTCTCAAACAGTGAGCATCTCAGTGCGTCCTTGGTCCTATAGCTGGGGAGCCTGGGAGGGATCCGCTCCCCTCACGGAGCTGGCCACCAAGGCTAGCCTTCTACTCTTACATTTATCCCAAAATACTATATTCTGGTCCCCTATTTCCTATGCTTCTCAGGCCCATCACTGAGTAAGCCTTGCCATGACCCTTTCCCACACACAAAAATAAGATGCGTTTTCTCTTCCCAGTGGTGAGGAATGACCCATGGCCCTGAAGGTAGGGTGGGGGCTGCTGACGGGGCCAGTAGCCAGGTCTTGCTCCCGCACACCTGCTGCACAGAGCTGTTACTAGCCTCTTCAGAAATTTCAGGTCTTGATAAGAGCAGATCCTTCAATGTTAACTCTTCATGTCTAACCATCCAAAATTCCTGGACAGGGATCTCCAGGCTGCAGGCATATCTGAGGTCCTGTGATCACCTTGCTCTCAAAAGTGTCTGGAGCCTGAGTTACTCTGGTGGCATACGCACAACAGATACAGCCTTGTGTGTGTCCCCTTGAACTTGTTGCTTTTGATTGGAACTTTCCACCTTTTGTAATGAATTAAAATCCCATATTGTTCTCATTTAACAGATAGGAAAACTGAGGTTCCCATGGCTAAAATAGCACCGAGACTGGGAAAAGGGAACCAGGACTCCTAATTTCCTTCCTTTGCACCTAGGAACAGGTTCTCCTGGCTCCTCTCCCCTATCCCATGGTGAGGTGCGTGGTGGTGGTGGGGATGAAAGGGCAGAACAGGCCTCACGTGCCCAGGCTGTGTCCCTCCAGGGAGAATGTATTACGAAACCTAGAGGACAAGGTCTTTGACCGGCCCATATGTGAGGCCCTCTTGGACCAGAGGTTCTTCAATGGCATTGGCAACTATCTGCGTGCAGAGATTCTATACAGGTTAGCAGGCAGGCCATGGGTATGAGGGTAGCCTGGGTGCCCACATTCCCCATTGCTTACCATGGCTCCCCTTCCCCCCGCCCACTGCAGGCTGAAGATACCCCCCTTTGAGAAGGCCCGCACTGTTCTAGAGGCGTTGAAGCAGCACAGGCCGGTGAGGGGTGGAGGGGAGGGAGGTATACTCACATTATCAGTGAGGGCTGACAGGGTATGGGCTGAGTCTTAGTTAACTGTCTCTAATGTAACCCATAGAGGTCCTTCGTTTGCTTTTCCTTCTCTGCCATGTGTGTGTGTGTGTGTGCACGTGCACACACTGGGTAGGAGGAGGATGAACCATATGAGCCCTACAAGCTCAGGTCTGCTCCCAGTGGGGTCAGCTGTTTTCTGGGTGTCCTTACCCCATGCTGACCGCCAGACTCTGTCCCTGCCTTTTCTCCAGAGCCCAGAGCTGACCCTGAGCCAGAAGATCAAGGCGAAGCTGCAGAACCCAGATCTGCTGGAGCTGTGCCATTCAGTGCCCAAGGAAGTGGTCCAGCTGGGTAAGGCCTGGGAAGCAGATAGCCAACTACCTCTGCCTTGGCATATTCTATAGCCCCCAGGGCAGTTGCTGCCCTTCTAGGCCTGGTTCCTTGCCTGAGGAAGTCGTTGCTAAATGGCCCAGGCCTCCTCACTTGTCAGGTATCCGTGTCCTCTAAGATGCCCATGAGACAGGCAGTGCAAGGATTGTTAACCCCTCTCCAGGATGGGCAAGCCATGGCCCAGAGTGGGGAAGACACCAGTCTGAGGTCACACAGAGCTGGAGGACAGTGAGCCTTGGCTCCTGACTCAGTCCATCAAGTTCCCCCTCCCCTTAGCCTGAGTCTGACCTCTGACCTCTGCCTGGCTCCTCTGTCCACAGGGGGCAAGGGCTACGGACAGGAGAGTGGGGAGGATGACTTTGCAGCCTTTCGAGCTTGGCTGCAGTGCTATGGCATGGCGGGCATGAGCTCCCTACGGGACCGGCACGGCCGCACCATCTGGTTCCAGGTTTGGGTCCTAATGCTCACTCAGGCAGAGATCCCAAAGAGGCACGTGTGGTAGAGACCTGGGGTCACAGGTGGGCAGGAGATGGGGTCTGTATCTAGGCCCCCACGTGTCACAATGTCCCTGTGACGTATTGTACATGACAAAATTCTAAGCCTTCCCTATGCTATGCTTCCCCTGTCCTATGAGTCCCAGGCTCTTAGCTAGTGGAGTAGCCCAAGGCAGGGTGACTTTGATGTCGGCTCTGACCTGGCAGGGAGGGGGCAGGCTTCTTAGGGGAGGAACCCCGCTGATCTGGAAAGAGGTGTGAGACCTGCCTCTCCAAGGAAAAACAACCCCTGCCCCAACCAGGCTGATTGTGGAATCCTCCCTGTTCCACTTTAGGGGGATCCTGGACCTTTAGCACCCAGAGGTAAGCTATTCCTAATGTAATAAGCTAAGAGAACAGAATGGGTATTACCTACAAGGGTTGCAGCAGTCCCCAGTCCCCACTGCAAACTGGGAGTCACCCCAGGGTAGAAAAGTGGGAGTCTGGAGAAAGGGCCCAAGGCTGTAGGACCTCGCAACCCCAGCATCAGTGTCCTTCAGGGGTCAAGTCCCGTAAGAAGAAATCCAAGGGATCACAGCCAGGTCCTGAGGACAGAATGGAGGTATGACTCCCTGCTCCTAACTCCTTCCTGCCCTGGCTGCACCCAGGGCCAGCTTTTGGACAGCTGCCTTCCACTGACTTTGCGGGTGTGGGGGCGCTGCACAATGGTGGGTCCTAACCAACCTCTGAACTGCTCTCTGAGCACCTCAGGGACCCGTGTCTCCTCCACCCAGGACCCTCCACCCCAGAGCAAGGCTCCTTCCAGGGCACAAAAGGCACGAAGAGGACGAAGAGGACTTCCTAAGCAAACTACAGCCCATCAACCTGAGGGGACCAGTCTCCAACAGGACCAAAAAGTCCCCCCAGTCACTGGGAAAGGAAAGAAAACAGGGCGACGGGCAAACTCAGGTGGGCCTTCCTCAGCACCCTCCTCTGGGGATGGAAGGGGCACCACCAAAAGGAGCTGTCCAGAAGGGTGATGGTACATGCAGGTAGGAGTTACAGGTGGACAACGGTGGGAGGAAGGCTGCTGGGGTAGTCCTCAACCTGGGGTCGGAGCTGCCACCTCACCTGTCCTCCCTCCAGGTCGCTGCAGACTTCAAAAGATCAAGAGTGACACCCCATCTTTGGAGCCTGAGAGGACTTCAGCCTCTTAGCTGCATATATACCTTCCCGCTGCCTTGCCCTGGACCAAGGGGACCTGTGTGGCTTCCTAGAGGCAGGGAGTAGTTGCAGGGGCCTGGATGCCTGTGTCCTGTGTTTGTTCCCTACACAACTATGATTTTAAAATTTAATTCCCACTGTCCCCATTTTTTAAGCTCATGTAAAAAATGCTGTATTTTAAAATATATATGAATTGATAAACTTCTTGGGTTGGCTACAGAAGGCTTGGGATGGCCAAGTTAGGAGCACCTGTTGCCTGGCCCTGAGTCCAAGAGGGCTACATCCCCAGCACAGCGGACTGGGCCCCATGCCAGTCCTCAGGCCCTGGCTGTCAGAGGACAGTCTGCACCAACAGTCCCGCACAGGTGGTGCAGAGAACCTGGCCCAAGGCTAGGCTCCATAGCTCCTCCCGTCCTGGATTCTTCAGGGCTTGTGGCTACCCTCCAACTTGGCCCTGACTAGTCAGTGCTTCCCCCCCTAGTGGGGCTAGCTGGGACCCACCCAGCCCCAAGGCCCTCTACCTGCTGTTACCATGAGGAACTTATCTAATGCTCTTAGCTTGTGGTCGTGGAATCCCCACAAATCCCCCAGGGGCTGCAACCCAGACTCTGCACACACAGGTGTTACCTTAGATTTTGCCCTCGCCCCCAAATGTCTGGGGAAAAGCCTTCTCACAAACAGGATGGGCCCTTAAAAGGAAACAGCAGGAGTTACCAGCAGGGGTCCTGAAACAAGGATTTAATGTTTAAGAGGTCACACATCGTTCTTCAGGCAACCACCAAAGCTTTCCACAAATAGCCTCCACCCTCAGGGTCTCAGTTCAGGGGTAGGTTGCAGTACTAGCAACAGAGACTGTACTTGGAAAGGAGAAAAGGTGAGCTTCAGGCGGGAGTCCCTAAGGGGCAGGTGGCCAGCAGGGTCTGGGCGCTCCAAGAGGTCGCAGCTGTAGAACAGGAGGGACTATGAGGACTCCCTTGAGGACCTGGTAAGGGCAGGACTCCCACTCCCATCCCACTCACAGGACAGCTTCCTGAACTGGCAATGACGTGTGCAGCCAGCAATCCACATGGCTGCCATGGGCCTCGTACATCCTGAGCACCAGCGTGCAGCCCTGGGTTTCAGCCTGGGGTGGAAAGGGGATGTTGGGTAGGGCCAAGGTTGGAAGCGGCCAGGCCCCCCCCCCCCCCCCCCCCGCCTCATGTAATGCCTTCTTGACGGTCTCCAGCACCACGGCGGGGGAGGACACAGTGAAGGCACTCCACGGAGACACAGGCGCCCGGCCTGGGGTGGGCAGCACCAACAGAGGGAAGTTAAGGCTGTAGGCTGCCTGGATAACACCAGCATCCTGGAAAGAGCCTGGGCAAGGGCCGAAAAGGAATGTGTGGTGCAAAAGGGGGTAGAGGTGCAGGGCAGCAGTTTTCCCCTCCCCACCAACAGTTGGAGAAACTTAGGTTTGGAGGAAAGCAGAGAAGGGGTGAGGCAGCACTCACCTGTGTGTGGCATCAGTGCATATGTGAACTCATGGCGCCCCATGTCAGCAGTGGCATCGGGGGCCTTAGGAGCCCGCAAGCTGCAGAAGGGTGGGAATGGACCAGGCTGGAATTCTGGCCCTGTAAGGCCTTCCCCAAGGCTGGTTCCTGCCCCAAGGCTGATTCCTGCCCCAAGGCTGGGCACACCACTCACAGTGATAGGCTGAGGACGCTGCCCCGAACTGAAGAGCCATACTTGCAGTCATTGAGTAGGGACAGCCCAAAGCCATGTTCTGATAGGTCTATCCAGCGGTGGGTCCACACCTGAAGGGCACATCCCAGACCCATTTGGTGGCCCTTCCTCCTTTTGCTTTAGTCACTGAAGTGAAGGCAAGCCCTAGAACCTCAGGATTCAATGCCAGCTCTCACAATAGGAGGCACTGAATGCACCACCCAAACTGTCTATGCCTCAGTTGCTCATCTGTGAAATGGGGACAATTAGTATTTAACCCACTAAATGGACACAAGTATCCAACTAAAAGCATCTGGCACAATGCCTGGCACACTTCGGGAACTAGCAAATACTGTTCCTCCTCCTCCTCACCACCCCCTTCCGTACCAGTCTCTCCCCAGCTGGGGACAGTCCAAACCCCCGCACCCTGCCCACGTCAGACCTCAAACCGTGCCCAGTCCCAAGAGGTGTTGTAGTGGGTGGGTCGCTGCAAGTGCCCGAACTGGACCTCGTAGGTGGCCTGGGGGCTCCGCACACGGGCAGGGAACTCCACCTTCAGGAATTTGTGGGCTTCGTGCCAGTGTACCTGGGGTGGGGGTCAAGACGGAGGGGAAGGAGAGACACAAGGCCTGGGGCTGGCACCTCCTTACCAGCCACACTTTTGGGAAGGTAGTCACCATCCTACCCCCATGCTACCTCCGTGTGGAAGCGGACGTAAGGGCAGCCAGCATCCAGTACAACCTCCTGGCTGAGCCGACTGTTGGGGCTGATCTGTAGCAGGAACCAGGCACTGCCCCGCAGGCCACCCTCAGTGCCCACTGCCAGGGTCCCTGCCTGGCCCAGCACTGGCTTCCTAGAGGGTAGATGTGTGAGGCTCTAAGCTGGGGCCGGCTGATGGAGGGCCCAGTAGGCCTGTACATCCCACCTCCCCCACATCCTGCCAACCCGCACCGTGTCTCCAGGTGGTAATCCATGACATCCCATGCATCCCAATACAGAGGGACATCATCAAACAGCACAAACTGGTTCCCCACGGCACCCTCGGCAATAGCCTCCCTGGAAGGAGATGGTGATTGGCGCTTTAGAACTGTATGATTTTGGTCTCTCCAGATGCTCATGGTGGGGTGGGGGCAGGGTGAGTAGAGCCAGGGCCAAGGGTCCAAGGGTCTCCCCAGCCCAGCCTGCTTTGCTCCATGAGTGGGTCCCAGCCGAGAGCCACTGGTAGGCTGCTGTGGCCAGAGGACAGAGGGAGCAGGGTCTGGGATCTCCCTGCCAGATCCTGGGAGAGGGCAGTGGGGGGTTGGCACCTGCTAGAAGCCACCAGCACCAGGGATGTCAGGCGGCCAGTTGGGTCCAGCTTCACCCGGATGATGCCATTGTCCAGAGTCACAGAACCGTCAGTCTTGGCAGAAGGGGGCCTTGACATAATTGGCAGGGGCTTCCCACAACCAACAGCCCCCCACCTCAGCCCCATCTCACCACTTGCTCTAGTCTGGAGAGCTCTGAACCCCATGTTGTTAAGAATGTTCCAGGGGAGCCCTGACCCAGCTGGACACGCCAGCACTCACCTCTTGCACAACAAACACAGGCTGCTGGGGCAGCGGGGGCTGCAGTGAAGTGGGGGCTGGAGCAGGAGCATAACCCATGCTGGGCACTGTCACCAGGGCTGGGGATGAGATCTGGGCATCAGTGTAGCCTCCTTGAACTTTCAGGAGCCTCTCTTTGGGATTCAGGGTTACTACTACTGCTATTCTCCAGCCTGAATCATCCCAGGGCAGAGATCCCCAGGGGAGTATCCCTGACCCTTGGTCTGGCCTCCTTCCCTCCTGCAGCAGCAACAACCGCTCTCCCCAGCTCATACCTAGGCTGTGGGCTCCGCCAGGCCTGGGCAGGGCCAAAACTTCAGTGCGCTTCCAGGGCAGTGTGTTGACAATGAGGAGTCCCTCAGGACCTGGTTCCCCAGCACACAGAGCTGCAGCTGCAGCACTAAGCAGTGTGTTGCCGTGGGAACGGATATCTGAGGAGAAATTAGGTGGTCACTAGTGGGCAATGGCAGAGGCTTCCCATAACCAACTGGGATGATCTGAGTGACCTATAGGTGACACTCTGGGCTCAGCCCCGGGTATTGAAGATAACAGTGGGAATGTTAGCCTAACCTTCATAGTGGGACATGGCTTCCTCGGCCACTAGCTGAATGCAGCTTCCAGTCACCACATCGTGGAACTGGTTCAGGAGCAGAAGCCTGCAGGGGTCAAAGGGCAGGAATGGGGAAGGCCAGGAGGGTGGGAAGAATGAAGGCTGGGAGGAGCAGTCACCGAGGTTTCTGGGTGGAGTCAGATAGGTGACAGGCAGAGCCAGGCTGACCTCCAGAGGCCCTGCAGCTGGGCTGCTGGGTACACAAACTGGGTGCTGCGGACCAGGGCCAGGCTGCTGAGCAGCTCCACGTCGTGCAGGATGCGTTCACACTCCCGGTTCCCCTTCTTGATCTGAGTTGAGCCCAGCAAGGCAAAAAGAATGAGTCTGGAACCTGCCCACGCATCCCAGAACACATTCCAAAGCCCCCCATGGCTCAGAACACCTGATGTCCTGACTCAGAACCCTATCTAATGGCTCCCCAGGACCTCCTGGATAAAGCCTCTTGTGGGTGACATGTCCCAAATGCCTCCTCCCTCAGTGCAAGCCTCTTTCAGACTCCTGATCAATGCGGCTCTTGCACTCCTCTCAGCTCCTCCTTGAAGCACAAGCCTCCTCCCCCAGATCTGGGTGGGCTCTGTCCTGTTTCTTTTACTGGCTCTACAGAGCACAAGCACGCGCTCCTTGCTCTGCTGAGTGACTGGTTCCTGACCTGGGCGTGGGTGGTGTAGGTGCCATTATGCAGCTCCAGGAAGAGCTCCCCGACCCATGTGCACAGCCGCTCTGAGTCGCTCTCCAGCATTGAAAAGAGTCGCCCCGGAGAAGACAGCTGCACCCTGGGGGAGACTGCAAGCCTGGGTCTCCCAGCCTTGGGGGGACCACATGGCTCAGCCTTCATCCATGTCAGAACAGACAAGAGACCCAGTCCCTGAAGAAAGGGGCCGCCCCCAGAATGCTGTCTACATAAAACCAACTCTAGAAACCCCAGGAGAGTTTCTCTCTCCAGTGAGTTTAAGCTCCTTCCCACCCTCAGCTTTCACCCTACCTCACCCCCAAGTTAGAAGTTCCATGTTCCATGGGAAGGAGCCCATGGAACAAGACTGGAGCGGGACTGGTCTAATGGATGGGTGGGGTCAAATGTTTGACAAGGAAGGGCTCAAGTTAAGGGCTGATGGAGCAGCTCCGTGAAGGTGCTGATGGGCCAGGCCTGACCTGGGCAGCCCATCTGTATTGTACAGACGCTTCAAGCGGTCCACCATGGTCTGGGTGGGGCCACCGCCCCCATCCCCAAAGCCAAAGAGGAAGGCACTGTGGTTGGTCCGCCCCTTGTCCCGGTTTTTGGCCACCGTCTTCAGCACCTGGATAGG